ATACATATTTAACAGTATAAGTTATGTACATTTCTAAATATAAATTTAATTTAAACAAACATTGATATTAAAATAAATATGTAATAGTAAATCCATCACAAATTGAAATCCAAAATTGTGCTAGCTAGTCAGTTGCTTTAGTGAAGTAAGCTTATGCATCTTAATTGCTGCAAATTGTGGTTTTCACCTCATTTCAGTATGAAAAGTGGGGCTAAGCAGTTGGCTTTTTGTGGAAGAGTTAATTTCAAGTGGTTTTAAGTATAATTATTATAAGTTGGTCTTCTCTGTGAAATAAAAAAAAAAATTTTTGTTGAAGAAATGAGAGTGAAGATTGGGCAAATTTGAATTTGGAGAAATCGAGCTTGATCAACTGACTGACCAACCGACAGTTGGTTTTTATTATTATGATTGTGATGGCTTTTATAATTTTTCATGATAATGTTATTAAACGATGGTAAACAGATTATAAATTAAAACAAGGAACTTAAATATTCTGAAAAATTTTTATTTAGATTAAACAGTGGGTTAACTAGTAAGATACACTAGTGCCTCAATTGTCCACTGTTTCTGTTATCCACAATTTTCGCTTTCCCTGGACCAGTGCAGATAATTGAGGTACTAGTTTATTCTCACCAGACAAGTTGTAAATCACTTGGCAAATGTGTAGCTCCCTTTACCGTATCCAATTACATAATGCATGGGCTACTCACTTGACTGAGTGTTTATTTTTGATTAACCCATCTGTTCTAAAAATTTAGAAATTTTTATTCATGTGGTATTTAATGTAAACTTCATTTGATGTTTCACAGATGGAGTTTGATGAGAAAGAACTTAGAAGAGAAATATCTTTTGCAATTCGAAATATTCATGGCATTAGGTATGTAGAGCTGTTTCTGTTGCTGAAGTTATTATGAAAAGCTAGTAATCGCTCTCAAGAATTGCTTACTGTATTGAATTCTTGTAAATACGGACTTTAAGCAATGTAATAAAGTAGTGTAACTCGTATCATGGAAATTTATTTGCATTTAACTCTTTCTGTATGCAGTGGGGCTATGCAACCAACCTCGTAACTATAAAGTAACCATCAGTTTCCATACAATAACTTTTAATATTGTATGTGTATCTTTATGAAATTTGGCAAGCTTCCAGTAAACATTACAAATGTTTTTTTACACAAAGAATCAGATTTTTTAATAAAGTATTTTTTGCTAAAGATTTGTCCGTCAGAGTGTTGACTGCTCTGAGTGCAAAGTGATTTTCATGTTAAGATTTAAGATACTTTTCTTCATCTGGAAACTTTCACATTTCGTTTGTGCAACCTCTGAAACTGCCTAAGTAAATATCAAACATTTTTTTCAGTAAAACTTTATAATTTTACTGTTATTTTCTTTACCCTAATTCTATACAGATTCAGTCAATGTGAACGATTTTGTAACTACCATAAAAAGAAAAACAAGATAAATCTAAATTACTCTTTTTCTTCCTAGAATGACTGCAGATTGTAACCAAAAGCTACAATTGTCCTATATACAGTACTGTGCAAATGTGTTAAGACAAGAGAATATTTTGTCATTCTTTCCATTTTATGGGGATAATGCTTCACTGATCCCTGTTGACAGGGTGAGAATACTTATCATTCTTTAGAATTCTCATATACTTGTACCAAGGGCATGTCATAAGGATTTTGCTTGAATGAACATACTGATCAAATTTAGTGTCTGAAATAACTGTCATGGACTCCCATGCAATGTCTTAACTGTATAGAAAGAAGCTAGCAGGGAGCTAGCATATGGTGCCGGTATACCTCGATAAAAACAGTGTTTAACATTATATATATTAACTTTTGTTGTCATGCCACAGCCCAAAAAGCATAAAGTAAAGCAGAGAGTTCACAATAAAAGTTTAAGTGATGCTGGTTGGACTCTCCGACAAATTGCTGCAGACTTGAAATGCTCCCCAAACACTATCAATACACCCTAGATTGTAAGACTGAGACAGGTTAATTTGAAAATAGGAAAGGAAGATGCAGAACACCTAAACTCAATGATACTGATGTTAAGTATCTTTGTTTATGCAGCCTTCGGGAGAGAAGGAAGATTGTCACTGATCTCAAGCATGAGATAAACGACCATGTACCAAATAACACAAAAGTGTCCAGATCTACAGTATCAAGAAGACTCAATGAGAATGAAATATTTGGTTATGTAGCAGTTAAAAAAACCTTTACTTCTATCTCCAAATACTGTCAAGAGACTGAAATTTGCCAAAAAGTACAAAAACTGGACTAATGATGATTGGAAAAGGTGTTATTGACAGATGAGTCCAAGTTTGAAATATTTGGTTCAAAGTGTAGGTTGTATGTCCAGCAGAAGAAAGGTTAAAGATACTTACCTCAATGCATAGCACCTGCCATGAAGCATGAGGGAGGCAGTGTGATGGTTTGGGGGTGTTTTTCTGCCGAGGTGACAGGAGATATTTACATAATAGATGGAATAATGGACTAGCACAAGTACCATCAGATACTGATCCTTCATGGTATACCAAGTGGTTTGTATATTATTGGTAAAGGATTCTACTACCAAGAAGATAATGACCCCAAACACTCATCCAACCTAGGCAGAAATTACTTAGCTAATAAAGAAGCTGCTGTAGTACGAGATCTGGGATTTGATAGATCAAAACCTTGACAAGTCAAAAGTTACTTCCCAAGAAACTTTATGGGAGCATTTTAGAGACATTTGGAGTAAAATCACAAATGACACTGATTAAATATTTTGCAACAATGCCTGAAAGACTGTCTTTAGTTATTAAAGAAAAAGGGGGGACACACAAAATATTAACTGTTTTCTGAACTCAAGCACTTCCACTGAGTTTCTGTTGTACTAAATGTGAGGATTAATAAAATGTTCATGTTTTACCTGTGATTTACCTTCCATTGTTCTTTGAAAGTAGCCTGAAATCCAATTTTTTAATTTGTCCTAACACTTTTGCACAGTGCTGTAGCTTAAGGACTGTAACAGTCTACATCTGTTTCTATTTAATTTTATTGTTCTGTTGGTCTTTGAACTATGTCTGTCTAACTAATAATCTTGCCATAAAAGTTGTAAATCGTTTGGGGAACATGTACCTCTTGTTACCATGTTCAATGATGTAATGCACAGTCTGCTCACAAGCATATCTCGTGAAGAATTTTTATTTCTTTATTATCTTAACTAATCTAATAAGTTTTAGATTTTTACCAATTAGTTATTTTTATAATAACAAATAGAAAATGTACATGATAAACATGAATTATAGTACTTACCTTTGACCTTTATTTTGCTGGTGGAAGTAGTCACCACTCCTGGCTATGACTTGTATAATTCAGACTGGATAACAGTACTTTTGAGAACATTATTCTTGATTGAAATCAATGAATATCTAATACATTTACTTTGTTTTCAATGAATATAAGTTATTTTATTTATGTACACAGTTTGAATATCATAAACGTAATAATATTCAATGATTAAAGTTTTGATTCACTGGAGTATTTTTAAATATTTTACCATTGCTACCATATTCTCTAAAACTAGTAAGACCTACCTAATGTCTGGTCATAGAAGAAACTTGCTATAATTTAACACAAAAAAATTTTCAGAAACAAAAAGAATGTCTGAACAAACTATAAAAAAAAAAATATTCCTAGGTCTATTTGTTCCCGATTCTTCTAAACTTCCCACTAAATTCTGTTGTTTTTTTCAACAGGAGCTACATCTAATTTTTTTTCTTAAGAAACTTTAAATGATTTTGATTTGTTGTAAATAGGTTAAGCTTTGCTTTACCCAATAGTATTTAAACTTTGCTTGTAGCTATTTTCAAAACTGTCTTGAAAGGTTGTTCTCACCCCTTTTCTGACATTTACAACATATGAAATGATTAGAGGTGTGTAATAATAAATAGACAGACAGACAAGGCAAATCCATTGTAGAAACAAAACTTAATTAATTGTATTTTCAAAGGATGATAGTATCTTAGCAACTAAAAAAACCTATGTCTTGGCTTGGGTGGAAAAATTCAAGGATAGTCTGTAAGTGGGTTGTTTATGAGTGAAGCTCCTTGATGCTGTGTAGAAATACAAGCATGAACATTTTTTACATTTTTACTTGGTGAATTATACTAAATAAATGTTACAAAATGACAATTCTGAAATATTTTTGAGTAAAGAAAATTTTGAAATAGTTAGAATTATTATTTGTAATTAAAATTTGACATTCAACACGTGGAACGGTTAAATCTTGGAATTATCAGTATACCAACAAATGTTTATATGCTGCTTTTTTTTTATACTAGGTGTTATACTATACTGTTTCTCATGGGTTATTAGCAAAGGAGTTTGAAAAATTAAAAGTAACCAAGGTTTTTCTCTCTCTGCTTAGATTTGTGTTTGCTTAAAGGTATAATATTTTAATTAACTTTAAATACATTTAATCTATAGTTAAAACATCTGCCAGCCCATATTGACAGCACTAGATGCTTTGGCATTGTTAAATACTTTGCCTTAGTAGAATTAAAATAAACATTGTATTTTGTTTCATTCACAGAGTTGGACTTTTTACTCCAGACTTGGCTTTTGAAGCTATTGTTAAGAAACAGATAAGGCGGCTGCGAGAACCTTCTCTGAAATGTGTTGACTTAGTAGTGAATGAATTAGGGAAAATTATCAGAAAATGTACAGAAAAGGTGATTTTGTATTTGAATCTTTTCTTTCACTTAAACTTGCAGATACATTTTTTTTTTTCAATAGTGTACTGTTTTTTGAATAGTTATATTGAGAAGCAACATAATGGTCAACATATATATGTAGGTGCAGATGAGGAATGCTAGCATGAAAAATTGTTCAGCTTGATTTTAATACTAAAAGCAGGAACATTTGTCAATTGAGGCAAATTAATTTTATCGTGAAAACTAGCGATTTGCTATTCTAATGGCAAAATAATTGTGCTAATATGTAAATAGCTTTCATTCAAAAGCATTAGATTTCAGCCAAGACAGTTTTAATATTCTCATCAGATTTATGGTATAAACCTGACTAGAAGGTAAAAAGATAAATATGCACATAGAATATAGTGCTTCTCACTCCATTGACTCGTCAGAATTCAGAATGTTTGCTATTTTACATTGGATGTGATAGAACGTTTTATCATTTTAACACTTCAGAGTGGTGTCAGTCCATTGGACTAAGCCTATTTCTCTGAAGCTGTGCTTATTATAACTGACTTTACAATATGTATCTTCACAAAATTTAGCAAGTCTTTTTGTAAAAATTATAAGTATTTTAACACACACACACACACACACAAAAATATTTAATAGACTTTTTATTAAAAGTCTGTCTATCTGAATTTCAAAACTTTTTACCATGTCAGTCTGAGTTAAAGGTTATTACATACTAAGAAGGAAAATACTTTTTTTCATCTTACAATTTGATATTTCATTTGCATAACCTCTAAAACCTTCTAACTGAATATCTAAAGTATGTTTTGGTATATTTTCACAACTTATCTCGTTTTCTTTACATTAACACTAAATGTAGCGAAATCATCAATGTACAGTGAAATGAAAACTTGAAAAATATGAAATGCAATGAATAATGCCTTTTTTTCTCAGCACTGATTACAATATTGATCATAAATAAGCTCTAACGTACCGTTTTGACTGTTATTATTTTCACTTTTAGTCTTATAGTTTTACTGCTGTTCATTGTAGTTACCCGCTGAAGTAGTAATTGCCACATGAAAAGCAACAAATCACAGCGGGAGCCCAATAGCTGTTTTGTAGAGCTAAAGTAAACACCACATGATTGTGAGGTATTATTTTAAACAGGGACAAGCACGTGTAATTTTAAATATTTTACTAAAAGCTTTATTAGGCTCAACTGAGAAGTTTACAATTTTTACATTCAATTTAGTTTTGTTAAAACATAAATAACAATAAATTAAATCATACATAAAAAAAATCAAGGACTAGCATTTTTCAACCAAGTAGGTGTTTTTCTGTGAGCCTCATTGAGTTTTACAAATTTGGGTGTCCAAAAAATAATTCTTATATGTTTGAAATATAAATTTTAGAAAACAAAAAAAATTATTTATCATTAGGATAGAATCTCCTAAAACTACTATAATTTATCTGGTTTCAAAGTGAGCTACAAGTATATTTAAAAAATTATGTTAATTGTTCAGAGTAACAAGACAATGATCATGCACTTAAAGACTTTGATCAAGTGAATAACAGGCACTAAAAACTAAACAATTGATAACTAGCTTTGTTTGGAGAAGATTCTGCCTTTGCTATTGGTTATGAACACGTCCATCAGGCGTATAAGGTTGATTAGTAATTAATGCTGAAAGTCAGAGCTAGAAGGGAGGGACATCTCTGGTGGGTTTGACAAATGTATCGATATCTCAGTAAATCAAGAATGTAGGAGGTGAAACTTTAGATTCTTGCTTGTAGTTATGTATAGTCTATGTTCCTTATTGGCAGCTGCAATAGCCTTTACAAAATAAAGAAGTTAGAGCTCAGATCATCACATGACACGGAAGACTAAAAATTATTTTAATGTTTCTTATTGAAATTAAGAAAATAAAACATGTATAATTTTAATTATGAACTATGTTTTCATGCCAATTTTATTAACATGTGTTGATAATAAAGTGATTTAATTAAATTTTTTTAAGATAACACATTAAAAGATCATGCTGTGTGGGCTTTGACCTTGCTGTTGGATTCTTATAAATTTCAGAAAGTATGAAAAAGAATGTCTTGTCGGGTTCATGAAAATTTTACAAAATTTGGAACTATTTTATAACATATTAAAGCAACATACTGAATACTGTTAACTTCCTCTAAAGGTTTATAACACAAAAACCGAGTTTTGATACCTGTAGTTGGCACAACACAGATAGCCACTTGTGTAGATTTGTGTTAAACAAACAAACAAATGATCCTCAATGTTTTAACATTTATAAAATAACAAGAACACTTTACAATACATTTCACAAGTTTTTATTAAGACTTTTTTTTTTTTAGAGTTGGCCTGAATCTTATTTTTAAAAGAACTTGGTGCTTTGCACCATGAAGCTACAACCAGTCAACCAAAAGAATTTAAAATTTCTCAATATTAGATAACTTTTTACCAAATTACTTTTTCTGTTGATGATAAATAAACATTTAGGTCTTTAAATCATGCACATTTTATAAACAAACTAAGTTTTAAGGTAATGCCTTTAAAAGGTTTTTTTTAAAGAACCTAACTTTTGAAATAAACTACAGTTGTTTACATTATAGAAAGTCCTAGGACCCATATCCTAAACTTGGATAAAACTGGTTGTAAATTGCTAAAACTTTTTTTGTGAATTCTATAATTAAAAAATAAAATGTATTTCATTAAAAAAAAGATGTAAAACAGTAATCATAATAAGATGAAATACAAAGTTCAGACTACTTATTACACTAATAAAATTATATTTAACCAATAATAAACAGTGAAGCAGTTCAGTTCAGAGTTTTGTTTTGTTGTTCATGGGTTGGAAGTGGACTAGTGGTTAGTCTACTTGGATGTGAATTTTAGGATTCAATGTTTGCTTCTTGTTGCCGAGAATTAGAGCTTCTAGAGATGAACTATAATAGTAATGATCAAGTCCATCTATTCGGTCATATAAATGTAGCTCAAGTCTGTCACTTCAAAACTTGGAATGGCTAATGAGATAATCCTCATCTAAATTTGCATCAAATACAGCATACAAGCAAATCATTATTTCTAGGTTTGTTCATCACTCATAACTTCCTTTCTTATAGCTGCTGTCATTTTCTGTTTTAAGTTATTGAATGAAACTGTAGTGAGGCTGAAAAGGATTGTATTTTCAGATGAACCGTTATCCAAGGCTACGAGAAGAGACAGATAGAATTATTACTTCTCACGTACGTGATAGAGAGCAGAAGACAAAAGAACTACTGGCTCTTCTAGTGGAAATTGAGTTATCTTATATCAATACCAATCATGAAGATTTCATGGGATTTAGCAAGTTAGTATGATGTGTTTGTATGTTTCTTGATATAAAGTTCTAATACTGTTGTAAAGTAATGACCGTGGTGGGTCAGCAGTAAGTTTCTGGACTTACAATGCTAAAATCCAGGGTTCAGTTCCTAACAGTGGACAAAGTACAGATAGCCCATTGTGTAGCTTTGTGCTTAAACAAACAAACTTAAAGTAATTATTATTGATCATGTAGTTTTACTGACAGAATTATGAAATAATCAGATTGTGATTTGAAGAATGTTTACTGCTATTTGTAATAATTTCAATAGATTGAAACTGTGACTAATTTTTACCATAGAATTAGTTGTAATCTTTTTTCACACAAAAAGATACTTATAATGTTAGAAATAAGTCAAAACAACTCAATGTTTAAACACAAGAAATATACCTTCCAGCCCCCTCCCCCGAATAATTGTTTGCCTCGATTTCTAAATCCTTTCGTTGAGATTCTCTAATAACAATTGAATAAAAGTACAAGTACTACTAGCTTTTGATAAACTTTTCTTCCTTTTGTCCTTCACAATAAAGATTTAGATATAAAAATTCCACTTGCCTCAACCTCCAGAGGTATAGATTGACTGAAATGACATAAACTTAACTATGTCAGCCAGAACTGAAGTAATCATAATTAACACATATGAGTTTAAACACGTTCTTGAAGTGAAAACCATATTGTATGAAACGATTGTTAAAGCCTGTTGTCCTTCCTTGAAGAGTGTAATATATATCTAATCAAAAACAGCATAGCTGTAAAAAAAAAAAAAAAAAGAAATTGTGACAGAGTGATGTGAAATCAGAGTTTGCAGCTCAAACTGTTTGCTGTTTTATGTTTAGCAATGCACTGACAAAAACAGTGGCCCATGTGATTTCTTGTAGTAGACATGCTTACTATACAAATTTTGTAAAATTTATTCATTAGTTGAGCAACTATGTTAGCAATAATTTTGGCTGTCCAAAATTTATATGCTAAGATAACAATGCAAAATAATAACAGTGTTAAAAAATAAAAATATATACTAAATATTTTAATTAGTACTGTAAGTGAAACTAACATTAAAGAAAGATTAGAATATAAATTACATATAATGCACAATGAACTAGTTGGGGTGTTTCATGAGCTAACACTGATTTCGTGTCCCTTAGAAAAGCTTGATACTAGTATGTTTAGAACTTAAGTTTATATAATCATATCTGACAACCTCTTACCAGGAAAGCCCATTAAACCCTATGATGACTACAGAGCAACTTTCAGATGTTGAGTGCACACTTGCATATTGTATTTCAGTAAAAATAATAATTCTAACACTATCTCAACAAGTTTTAACTCAAAAATAATTTTTATTTGACATTTTGTAAAATTTGTTTGCAAATAAAAAAAAAAAAAAAAAAGAACAACAATTGAACCACTAGAGGCTGCATTTCTAGTGACAGCAAGGATGAATGTACAGAGTAATGAAGACAACAGAGTGGAGTGCAACAGAAAAAAATACAGAAGAATAGGTGGTTCAAACCAAAAGTCATCTGCTGTCAACATCTTTGGAAGGATGTTGACAGGAGAACAGCCAATTGTTTAGCTTCAGCAAATGCTTCACCAGAGAAAAATCAACCTGCTGGAGAGTCTGAACATCTGTGGAAGGATGTTGACAGGAGAACAGCCAATTGTTTAGCTTCAGCAAATGCTTCACCAGAGAAAAATCAACCTGCTGGAGAGCCTGAACATCTGTGGAAGGATGTTGACAGGAGAACAGCCAATTGTTTAGCTTCAGCAAATGCTTCACCAGAGAAAAATCAACCTGCTGGAGAGTCTGAACATCCTGGAAGGATGTTGACAGGAGAACAGCCAATTGTTTAGCTTCAGCAAATGCTTCACCAGAGAAAAATCAACCTGCTGGAGAGCCTGAGGTTCCTATTGAGACCACTTCCAGAGTATCAACAGAGATACAACCTCAAATGAATTCATTTATCCATAGAAAACTACCTAGTGACAAGACAACAATCATCTTATCTACATACCATAAGCACTGCAAAATAGAACAATAAGAAAAACTTGCCAACAGGACAGTTTAGACACTGTAAATCAGTAAAGAAAAAAAATACTTCTGAAATTGATCAGAAATTGTATCTTGTGTTTTGTATATTTCAGTATTGATTCAGTTATTGTAATGTTATGTGTATGTTTCTAGTATTGTAGTGTAATAAAACAGTATTTGCTTTATACATTTTGTATAAAATGTTTGTTTGTATCTTCACAGGATCACAATATATTTTGAATTATAATAATTGACATTAATAGGATTATCTGGTTTTCAGTTTATAGAAGAAAAAAAACAGCTTCATTCAAAGAAAAGAATTCACTTTCACTATATAAAAGTATATTGTGTATGGAATATTGGCTAGTTTCCTAGTACAGGTTATTTTGTTCTGTTACAAGAGTTCATTCTTCCTTATTTTTGTTTAATAGACATTTTGCATATCCTAGCATATTGTTGGAATGTTGTTTGAAATTTTTTTTTTTTTTTTTAAGTGCCCAGCAGCATGCTGAATCCAATGCTGGGAAAAAAAGTCTTGGGAATCAGGTTTGTGAATCTTAGGATTGAGAAATGTTATATGTTAATTTCATGTATTAAAGATTCAATAGTTTTTATATCATAAAATTCCTTAATTCTATAGTTTCTATGTAAGAATTTCAAGATCAGGTATTTTCAGATTATCATTTTAGGTTGTTGTTTTTTTATTGGTCAAGTTTTTTCTTGTGAAGGTAATATTTGTTGGAAGCAATACCTTTTCACTGTTTTATGGTATTTTTATACAAAATATTTTGTTTCCCCATACAAAGATAGACAAATCTGCATTGTTTGATGGGGGGGAAAAAAATGTATATGGATTAGAATTAAATTGTAAAGTTTACTTTCAAGAATGTCAGCTGTTTTAATTTTTTGTTTCAGATTTTGGCTACGCTGTACCTGAACTTGTTTAGGGGAGTTTTATTGTTCTGTTCTCAATATTTTGAGAAACATAAATTATAATTTTAAAAAAGTATAAGAAATAGTCTGATATGCTGATTTGAATTCTTGCAAGAACAGTCAAAGGCAACTAAGAAAGTGAAATTAACTTTTTAAAAACAATCCTTCCAAGTGTTTTTGTGAATGTTTTACATAGTTGAGACTTTGACTCTGGATTGGCCATTTTGTTACTTTGAAACAAATGATTTTCAAAAGGGAGTATCCTGATAGAATAATGGTTTGTTGCCCAAACATTCTCTGCTTAGGTCTTTGAAACATATTCATTTAACAACTTGTGATGTTCAAGCTAATGGGAGACCAACTGGTAAATATTTTGCTGGTAGAAACTAGTTGAGGCCTGGCATGGCCTGGTGGTTAGGGCACTCGACTCACAATCTGCGGGTCATGGGTTTAAATCCCTGGCATACTGAACATGCTTGTCCTTTCATCCATGGGATGTTATAATGTGACAGTCATTCCCACTATTCATTAATAAAAGAATAGCCCAAGAGTTGTTGGTGGATGGTGTTTGCTGGCTCCCTTCCTTCCTTCTAGTTTCTCGCTGCTTAATTAGGGATGACTAGTGCAGATAGCCCTCGTGTAACTTTGCATGAAATTCAAAATATACTAAACCAAGAAACCATTTGAGAATTTTTTTCCAGTTGCTGTAAATACTATCCTTTGTGAAAACTGTTTTTTTAGAAATTTTCCTGTTGAAACCCAAATAAAATTAAATTGTTTCAATTAGAAATAAGTTATTTTCATGTTGAAAAATTTTCCATTTTTTACAAGGAAAAAGTACATTTTTGATGCAATTAAATAAAGTTTTGATTATCGAAGCTTGAAGGAAACTCATCACCTGTTACTTATTTTCAGTTGCTATTAAGTACAAGTTTTTCATAGGAGTAACAGATTAGCTGTTACCATTCCTTAATGAACCAGTTTTGTTAAAAAATAGTTTTTGTATTTTATATAAAATGGATATTTCATGTCATTGATAAACACTTACAAGATTATACTGTATTTTCTTTTCTGTAAAATACAATGCTTAACAAAAGCAGTTTGTCATCTGTTAACACAGGTAATTAGGAAAGGTTGGATGTGTATCAACAACCTCGGAATCATGAAGGGAGGTTCAAGAGATTACTGGTTTGTGTTGACTTCAGAGTCACTATCCTGGTTTAAAGACGAAGAGGTAAACCTTTGTTTCACTGTTGAAACTTGAATTGACATTAGATCCATTGTCTTTGTTTAAAATGCAGTTTTTTTCCATTTGCCTTTTGTAAGTCTTTATGCTCTTGCTTTCCCAACACCAAACTACACTTTTGTGTGCAATACCAGAGTTTTATTTGAAACTTCTTGTATGTTTGAAAAAAAAATGTTCATTTTTGTAATGATTAAAGAGAATTTATATATTAACGATATAATAGAATCTTTTTTTATTATTATTATTATTCTGCTGACAATATTTTCTAAGTTGTGCTGTGTTATGTCCAAAGTTAGGTGTAATTTATGTTAACTACATCATTCTGAGATAATATTTGTGTAGTCTAGTAGTCTATTATTGCAAGCATTTGTAAAGTGACCAAGAATTCAAAATATTTCATCAATGGTTATAACTAAAATAAAATTTCGTTCAAACTTGCTGTCTTTTTAACAGTGCACATAAGGAAAACATGAGAATAAAAATGATTGGATATCCCATTTACATCATTTATATATTTATACAGCAAGTTTTCTAACAGTACATCTTATAAAAGAAAATAACCTAATAAACTACTTGTTAAATATTTTTAACTGCAAATAACATGTGATCCAGGATAGACTGGAAGAAACTGATATTTTGTATAGTCAGCCTGTATATGTAAAATAGAAATTTTTTTTCCCAAACATGCTTACATCCACTGACATTTTAAGTATTTCTTGATCTCCAGGGTTTCCACTCTTTGCCCATCTAAGCATTGAAAATACTTGCTCCAGTCTTTTATACCCCACTTGAATGCCCTTGGCAAATTCCAATTTGCAAATTTCTCCACCAACTTCAATGCACCCTCTATCTAGGTACTGTATATAAGCACATCATTCAGATAATGTAATAATTTTTTTTCCACAAAGCATTTATCATGAGTTTCTATAAACAGGACTGTTGTGATTATTCACAATTTACATTGCGACTTTGAACGTGGTTAGCATTACTATGGTTATATCTTCATTTATATTTATAAATTACTTTAACAACAAAGAAAAAGTGCACCCGATAAGTATGAATTCACCAGTTAATGTTTATGATACAAAGGCCAACCAGACCTCTTCTCTTCCACCTCTGCTATCTGGTGTTTGTCAACAGCCAGGGGAGGGGGGGTCACTCTCAGTCGAAGCTGTCCATGATATGATCTGTTGCAAGATGGAGATATATATACAAAAAGAGGGTGTCTCATCGAGGGGTTCTGAGGCGGTATTTGTAAATGACCCGGGAACAGCTCGGGAGAACTTAGACTCACTTTTTCCGGCTCCTTCTTTTACAGCCTAAACAGAGAATCATCTTGATCAGACACCTCCAGCCCCTTTTCTTCAATTGGTTACTTGGGTTTGTGAGGTTTTGAAGGTCTCTCCTATTTCATTTGACTCCATTCTTTCCTTGTTGGCAGAAAGGATGGCAAGTGACTCCTTGGTTTTTTCTTCCTTCTTCTGATATTGCTGTTCATGCTGGGAGCTTTGCTGCTCGGTTATGTGAGGGGATAGCTATGCTTTGTCACCCACGTTTATCTGAACAGCATGCTTTGGCTTATCACCGCCAGTAGGAGGTACATTTAGATTCTCAATGGATGGACCCCTTTTGGACCTGTAGGGGTCTAGATTGGAACCTGTGACACGTTTAACAGATCACAGTTTTCTCAGATTCATCTTACTCTCACGACTGTCCAGAGGTATTTATCTTTGATCCAACTTTTGTCAGAACCCTGACAAAGTTCCCCTCAGCAAGTTGAGGATGAGTTTGGGATTTTGCTGATGTCTACCTCAGTCAGACTGTCTTCCTCAGTTCTTTCTCTGTTTTCCTGGCTAGTTTGTTGTTGGGATTTATTGGGTAGAGACGCTTTGTTAGAAAGTGCATTAAATCCTGGGCTAACTTGCTTAAAGTAATATGTGTATTTATCATGACTGTGCAAGTAGTTAAAATTCTTATGACTTAGTAATAAACTTTGCATGCTTACTAGTGAAGACTGAATGCATAAAAAATTATTATAAATCTCTATAACTGTTTTGAATGTACCATAATCTCTTGTAAAGTTCAAATTAATATGACATAATCAGTCATATTTCTTTCCAATTTGGTTATTCAGTATTATTGTCTAACATTTACATGACCCCATTGTCTAAAGTTTCATGCATTTGATAGTTAATTGGAAAAGATATGTAAATATTTATAGATGTAGAGTGTAACTTAAATACTTTTAACTGTTGTTTATAGAGTTTATAGTACTAGCTATTATAGGTCTTAAAGGAATGTCAAATTTGTGAATTATAACCTTTTCTGTAAGACCCACAATTAGTACCTAAAATGCTCCCAACCACATTATTGCAACATTTCTAGTGAAGTTAACAACTTGCCTATATTGTTATTGCAAAGCAATAAAAGTTAAATAATTAAAACTAATATGTAGGTCTCAGTTGACTTAAGTCACATCAAACATGCTTTCTTTGTGTGGATCAATAGAACCAGTTGGTGTTATGGGGCTTAAATGTTTCAGGAGTTTCAACATCCTTTCACTTTCATGTAACAGAGTATGTGAAGGTAGTCAATATGGTTAAACTGCTGGGAATTAGTGGTATTAGTGGGAATGGATTCTTTATCTCTTGAATGGAAGCCAAATCCATAAAGAGGTGTATCTCTTACAATTGTTTGGCACGTCTATTTTACACGGTTGTTGACCCAGATGATTGAATAGGTAGTGTTTTCTTTCATCAAATTCAAAAAAGTAAACATGTTTTAAAAAATTCAATAGATACCTCCACAAGAACAATTGCAGTGATAAACTCTACAGAGTTTGATGTTTCACCTAATACATTAGGTTTAAATTGTATAGCCTGTGCATGACAATGGTTTTAATAACAGTTTCATTTTTTGCAGTTATCAGTTATGGTGTCTTGTAGTTTTTCTTGTAGCTTTAAAATGATTTTTTAAAGATAATAAATATTCTTGACAATTCATAATTCTGATTACTAAAATTTTATTTCCACCTCAACTTTTTTTGGTATCTATATTGACATTATCTTTTTTTTTAATAGCATAGTATGTCAGTTTTTATCTACTAAAAAAAAAAAACATTGTAACATCAAGTCTTTGATTAGGCTTAGAGAATAATATATGTTTTTTTTGTAATTATAAGAGGAGTAGGGTATAAAAGTAGGAAGCCATAAATCATGTTTTTCTAACGAAAGCTGTTAACCTTGGCAAGTTGGTGTAGAAAATGATCTCTCTGGCACAAAATTATGCTAGAAATATTGAAACTGCTTTAAGAGTTGATGTGTAATTATCATCTCCATCATGCATGATATTATCGCTACTTACCGTGTTTTGAGTGGGCAGATAAGATTTTTCTATGAATTTTAATCCAAGTTTCAGAGATATATATCACTCCCAACACACACTGGATTAGCTGGAAAATGCTTTGGCGAGAACTCCACATTAAGACTTACAGTAGTGTAAACTCTCTGAGAACTCTGCTTTTTGCTGCTCTTGAGCCATAGTAGTGTAGCTGCAAATAGTTTCAAACTAGAATTCCTGATTTATTTTGTCCAGTATAGGTAAAAAATTAGCCTAGGTTTATGATTGAGTGTTTTTTTTTAAATGATAAAAACTTATTGAAGTGAAAGTTTACTGCAAGTGAGCCAAACATTTTGACAATTACAAAAGCAGTCATTGGTTTCAGAAAATTTTAAAATGTCAGAAAATGTTACAAAAAATGACTTATTGGGTCTTGAATTCATCATCAACTTGTGTAGTCTGTGTTGATTTTATAAAACTGTTTTGCTTTGATATATTGTAAGCAGTTAATTTCTGTTTTGCATAGGAAAAAGAGAAGAAATATTTACTGCCTTTAGACAACTTGAAACTACGGGATGGGGAGACTGGTTTCATGTCAGTTCGTCGGCACATTTTTATTCTTTTTAATCCAGATCAGAGGTAAAGAAAAATTTCATTTTAAAATCATAAATCTTTTCCAGTGATCTGTTTCAATTTTCTGTTCCACAAAGTACTATATAAACTAAAGATTTTAAAAATACTTGTATTTTGATGTAATACCGTCTCTGGAAATTAGCATTTATTTATTTATTTTTGTTAACTTTTTCAGCATGGGCTCGGTCCTTGGGACCAACCTCGTAACCATTTTGTGCTTCTTATAGTTTTCATGCTATAACTTTTAAATTAGTAAGTGTATGTTCATGAAATTTAGCAGATTATCAGTAAACGTTACAAGACTTTCAAATGCAAAATATCTGATTTTTCTTTTCTCATGCTGCCTATTTATCATTCAAAGTAATTGTCATTTTAAGATTAAAAATACTTTTATGCATCA